CCAAAATGGCCCCTGCAACAAGCAGGAACCTCACACAGGCACAAACAGTCCAAAAAACCTACTTTCTCACTTTACACACACACAACACAACACAACATAACACAACACAACACAACACAACTGGCTCACCCACAATGTAAAAGCAGCTGTGCTAGACCCAAAGTGGCCCCTGCAACAAGCAGGAACTTCACACAGGCACAAAAAGTCCAAAAAACCAACTAAAATGTATGAAAAACAGTTACAGGAACTGGATATGTCTAGTCTAACAAAAAGAAGGACTATGGGATACATGATAGCAATGTTCCAATATTTGAGGAGCTCCAACAAAGATGAAGGTGTCAAACTGTTTTCCAAAGCACCAAAAGGCAAGAGAAGAAACAATGGATGGAAACTAACCAAGAAGTGAAGCCACTTAGAGCTAAGGAGAAATTTTGTAATGGTGAGAACAATCAACCAATGGAGCAACTTGCCTTAAGAAGTTATAGGTGCTCCATTGGAGGGTTTTCAAAAAGAGACTGGACAATCATTTTTCTGAAATGGTTTAGGGTCTCCTGCTTGAGCAGGGGTTGGACTAGAAGAACTGCAAGGTCTCTTCCAACTCTATTATTCTATGTTCTATGTTCCTAATGAACTAACCATCTCCAGTATGAAATGCCCCCATCCAATAAACCCAAGCCAATCAGCAGAACCATGTTTTAATCATAGTAAATAAAAGATTTAGCTACATCTTAGAAATTGCTGTATGATTTCCTACTACATACATTTAAAATCTGTTAGTTGACACAAAATGGGCTAAAATTTGCAATTTGCTCCTGTTCAACATTTATATGAAGCCGCTGGGTGAGATCATCTGCCACCATGGACTGAGGTATCATCAATATGTTGATGATATTCAGCTGTATGTCTCAGTCTGTGGTGAGTTAAGTGATGCTGTGTCCTCCCTCTCACAGTGTCTGGAGGCTGTTAGGGGTTGGATGGGGAGCAACAGGTTGAAACTAAACTCTGGCAAGACTGAGTGGCTCTGGGTTTGGGGTTCTTTGGCCCAAGGAGAATTGCCACCTTTGGTCTTGGATGGGGTGGCACTACCCCAAACAAACCCTGTGTGTAATCTGGGGGTTCTCCTGGACTTGTGACTCCTACTCGAAGAGCAGGTGGCGGTCGTGGTCAGAAGGGCCTTTGCATAACTGCGGGTTGTGCACCAGTTATACCCTTTCCTGGACCAACAATCCCTACTCACGGTCACTCATGCCCTGGTCATTCTTGTCTTGACTATTGCAACACGCTCTACATGGGACTGCCCTTGAAGAGCATCTGGAAGAATCTGGTGCAAAATGCAGCAGCCCCCATGGTTTTGTGCAGACCTTGGTATGCACGTGTATCACCATTGATTGCTGATTTGCTTCTGGGTGCAATTCAAGGTGCTGATTGTCACCTTTAAAGCCCATCATGGATTGGGACCAGGTTATCTGAGGGACCATCTCTTGCTGGTCATATCTACCCGACCCATCAGAGTGGGGAGGCAGGGAATGTTGCGGGTCCCATCCCCTAGGGAGATACATCTGGTGGGACCCAGAAGAAGGGCCTTCTCAGGGTGGCTCCCTCTCTCTGGAACATCATTCCCCCAGAAATTAGAATGTCCCCACTCTAATACAGGCCCAGAAGGTGCTGAATACCTGGTTCTGCCAATGGGCCTGGGGAATGCAGAGCGGGATGGAGCCCATTAAATGGATCGTATTATGTGTTGTTGGCGGGGCAGGGGGTGGAGGGTTATTTTATTTTATTATTTATGACTCTCTCTTTTATTGGTTTTATTGTTTCTATACAATGTTTTTATATTCTTGTAAGCCGCCTTGATTCACCATGTGCAAATAGGCAGCAATATAAACCCAACACATAAATAAATAAATAAATAAATAAATAAATAAATAAATAAATATGAATGAATGAATAAACAAACAAATAAACAAATAAATAAAATTCAGATTGATCCATTGAAGATGTTCTGCACAAAGGGAACTCAGGCAAAGGGCTGTGGGGTGGGTGTCCATGTATTTCCAAACATGGTCACTGGGCATGTTCAGATTTGGCAGAGTTGTGGCCCTTAACCTGTATTTGAAGTTCTGCAGTTTAAAAACTCCAGCCTGCTTTTGAGAAATAATATGGCAGCCTCAGATTCCAAAGAAGAGTTTAATGAGTCTCCAAAACTTTTTACAAAGTTAGACATCACCAACATGTGGGGCAACTCAAGACATATTTTCATAGAAGGCAAGAAAAGCTGGTGCTGAGGCTTTAATAAATAAAATGGTTACTTCATGCCCAGCTTGCATGGATATTGCAAGCTGTGTTGTAATGCTACTGATTAGCAACAGTGGACAACAGAAGACATCTCCTGTGATGCTTACCAAGCCTGTGAAATGGGGAATATCTTTATCTTTCAGCAATGGACACCTGGCCGCTAAGTAATTGGTTTTTATGTATTGTTCACTAAAGCATGGTAGTAGAGATACCATAATAATGGACTATGTTTTATATTTTGCAGCCTCTGAATTAATACTAAATGGGCAGTGGGCAATTAAAAACATCCTGCTTTTATATAGGTATTCCTCGACTTATGACCACAATTGAGCCAATTTTTGTTGTTCTTAGGTGAGACATTTGTTAAGTGAGTTTTGCTCCATTTTATGATCTTCCTTGCCTCAATTGTTAAGGAAATCACTGCAGTTGATAAGTTAGTAACCCAATTGCTTAGTAAATCTGGCTTCCCCATTAACTTTACTTGTCAGAAGGTCCTAAAAGATGATGAGATGCTTGGGATACAGCAACAGTTATAAATATGAACCAGTTGCCAAGCATCTGAATTTTGATCACATGAATATGGGGGTGCCGCAAAGGTCATAACTGTGAAAAATGCTCATAAGTCAACTTTTTCAGTGCTGTTGTCACTTTGAAGGGTCACTAAATGAGGACTACCTGTATATTTGTGGCAATCACAGTCATCGCTTATCTTCTGAAGATTTTTGTGATCTAGAATATAGGGGCATTTTTCTTATGTTCTATTTATGTCCTCTGAACTCTGAAATACTAATAAAATCATATGTTAAAGAAAAATAATGATTTGTCAGTGATGTTTCATTAGAACGAAGTATGAAAATATTCTGAAGAAATATTTGTGTGAGGGGAGTTATGGTGGTATAAATCCCATTTTCAGGAGGGAAGGAAACATGATATGAAGAGCTGAGATGGCGCAGTGGTTAGAGTGCAGTACTGCAGGCTACTTCAGCTGACTGCTAGCTGCAGTTCAGCAGTTCAAATCTCACCGGCTCAAGTTTGAGTCAATCTTCCATCCTTCCGAGATGGGTAAAATGAGGACCCAGATTGTTGGGGGCAAGAGGCTGACTCTGTAAACCGCTTAGAGCACTTAAAGCACTATGAAGCGGTATATAAGTCTAAGTGCTTGTGCTATATTGCTATGCTATGACTTTCAGGATAAGATGCCTATATCCTTCATAAGCCTGCGAGAATTAATTTTGCTAGAAATAAAAGAATGACATAGTTCATCAATTCAATCTGATCCCATAGATGCTTCCAAATTTTCTAAGGAAAACCTTGGAAAAAAGTTTCTCTTGACAATTACTAATGTGCTATCCAAATATGCCTGGACCTCCTTTTTATCTAATAAGTCCACTGTGAGGCAGCTGCACCCTTCCAGAACATCTTCAAAATAGAATGTGCATCATGAAATGCTAGGAAAGATTTCTCAAATATTCCTCTGAGGAACATTTGGACACATTTGCATTCATTACTTTGTCCCTGTAATGGCTCTTCTTCTTGTCCTCCAAGGCCATTCCCTTTTTCCTCTACAGGTCCTGGGGGAGATAAACACTATTTACATCAGTGGTCACCAACCTTTTGGGCACCAGGGACAAATTCTGTGGAGAAAGATTTTTCCATGGATTGGAGGGGGCATGGTTTCACCTGCTGCCTGCATCCTTTGGATGAAGATTCATTTGTTTGTGCGGCTCAGTTTCTGGCATGCCGAGGCCCATGCTGGTCCATGGACTGAGGGTTGGGGATTCCTGATTTACATTAAAAAAATGAAGGGATTTTTTTTAAACTCAAGTTGCATAAGAAATATAATAATACATATTGTTTTCTTCATAGAAGTTAGATGGAATTTGCAGCAAAGGATTTTTCTTATACACACCTATAAAAATGAGACTTTTGAATTTAAGAAAATAATTTAAAATATTGACAACATATTTTCTCTTAAAGACAAAACAGGAAAAAGGGAAATGAAATTTAAAATCAAATTTTTAAAAGGGAATTTTCCTGATTAATAAGAGGAGAAGGATAGATCTTGTATCCTTCTGATAAGGAAGCAATGTCTTATTTTCTGTCTTGTATTACCCGGAGTTATTAGTGTTTTGACCTTCTAAATATTTGTTGAAGTTTAACCCAATCCTAGTTCTGCGGTATTTGGTGAAAAAACAACTGATATCAAATTGTACCAACAGTTTCCTGATATGATTGGCTAATGTTTAACTGCATGTCGCTGAAGATTGTAAAACTCAAAAATAATTTAATAAAAGAACTGGATATCTACAAACTTGAGATTTCTATAAATAGATATAATAAATATAAAGTAGATATGACATATGATATCAAATGTAATTTATTTATTATCAAATTTCTATACTGGCCTTTTCATCTGAGTCACTCTGGGAGATTTACAATAAAAATAGAGTGTTAGGACATGGAAGAATGAGAAAATGGTTCCCATGGCCAAGAATTTTTCATAAAAATCATGTATAATAATTTTGTTGTTAGCTGCTGCTACTGAAGACCTTGGGAAAGTTCAGAATTGATCAACACTGGAATGAAAATGGAGGGTTTTTTTTTCCTTCTGAAGAGTTGGCAGCACTGCCCGAAAAGTTGAACTATTACTTAATTTGTTTGCTGTCCCACCGCAACACAAAGTTCACAAAGCTCACATGAAGTCCTCATTTAGCTATCAAGATCATATTCTTATTCCAGTAATGCTTCCTCTTCACAGCTTTCCTAACAAAAAGCAAAGCGACAAGCAAAAAGGAGGAAGGGATGATAGTAGCTCGGAGAAATCAGCTGAAAGAGCCAAACTGCTGATCTGAATTTTAGTGGTTGGGAAATTACCTGAAGAGCTATGAAGGCCTGGCTGCTCCTGGTTGCTGCTTTTCTTCTCTGGCCAGGCTGCTCTTCTCAAAAGGGTAAGTTAAGACAAAGAGAAATCAAGGGGAAAACAGTGTCTGCTGCATTCATTAAAGGACCAGTTACTTTTAGAAAACACAAACAATTTCATTTTTCTCTTGTGGTTTTCTTGAAATTTGTAATACCAGATTCTTTAATAATGTCATGGATTTATAATTCCATTCCTCTTTTCAAATACAACGTTTTTCAACTACTGATTTGTAAATAGCAAGATACTTTGTATGAGTATTATAAATACATGCCCATTTTGACGGTCTTTGTTTCAGTTAATAGGCAACTTGATATGATACCCAAGAAATTACCAAGTGTAAGATGAGGCTTCATAAATCAGAGTGCTTGAAATTATAGAGATGTATTTCCATTGGGTTTATATCAGGATAAACACAAAGAAATCAGTGGATGTCTAAATTCACAATGATTATATCTTTCACAAGAAGATGAGGATAATATTGACTTCAGTAGACATTGAAGCTAAGACCATATTTGCTGATATTCATAGTAATATTCCAACGTTTAAGCCAATCATATATTTATCAATGTTTTTTCATGGTTACAAAAGTCAAAGAAGAGGAGAACTGGAACTGGCCTCAATCAACAGAGAGCATAGAAGGCATTCCTTTCTCCATAATTTCAAAATTATCTGATAATACTATACTTCAGTACAATAATGAGTGAACGTTATCCCATAGCAGGCTCTTACTTTCAAATTTGATAAGTGAAGGCTTAGAAATAGTTATTCTGCAATTATTTTCTTCCCTTGTTTCTGCCAAGCATGGCTGATTTGAAATGTTTATTTGCATTCTTTATTTGCATTCTTTATTCTCTATTAACTGATAACCTGGCATTGCCTGGGTATTTATTATCCTAATTCTGTATTAGACAGGAAAAGCCATCACTCACTGTGGTGAGAATTAGAGACCTAATTGCCCTGGCGAATAGCCTGGGAAAAATTCTGCAGGGAACAGCCTTTGAGGCGATTATCTGCATTAGCAGACACCTCCCCTGACAACTTGCCCTCTTTGCTTGAAGCTGAGGGCCTAGGAGGTTTATTGTTTGTTTGTTTAAGAACCAATCCCCCTTACCAGAAGGAGCCCCCTTCTGGAGTACTGTGAAGCCATTATCATGGCAACTCCATTGTGATGTACTTTAGAAGCCATTTTAAGGCACAACAGGCTGTATGTTAACACAACTTGAATCCAAAATGCACACTATCACTATCAAAAGTACTGTGATTTGACACTATAGATATAATTCATTCCTTTTCTTTTCAGCAGCCCAGGTGTTCCAGAGTTATGCTGGAACACACAGATACACACACACACACACAAGATACACACACATGCACACACACACCCCAAGGGGTGTTAGGGGTGTTTTACTCCCACAGTATTTTTTTCCAGAGTGTAAGTCATCTGTATACCAAGTTTGGTTTAAATTACTAGAGGATACATACAGTAACTGGAACACACACACACACACACACACACACAAACACCAGGGATGGCTTACCCCCCACAGTGTTTCTTTTGCAGGGAGTAAGTAATCTATGTACCAAGTTTGGTTAAAATTGCTTGAGCTATTTGAGAGTTATGTTGGAACACACACACACACACACACACACACACAAACAAACCAGGGGTGTCTTACCCCCACAGTATTTTTTTCCAGAGAGTAAGTCATCTGTGTAGCAAGTTTGGTTAAAATTACTAGAGGCATTGCAGTTATGCTGGAACACAGACACACAGACACAGAAACACACACACACCAGGGGTGTCTTACCCCCACCCCCAGTATTTTTTTCCAGAGAGTAAGTCATCTGTGTAGCAAGTTTGGTTAAAATTACTAGAGGCATTCCAGTTATGCTGGAACACAGACACACAGATCCAGACACACACACACAGCAGGGGTGTCTTACCCCCACCCCCAGTATTTTTTTCCAGAGAGTAAGTCATCTGTGTAGCAAGTTTGGTTAAAATTTATTTATTTATTTATTTATTATTTCTATTTCTATACCGCCCTTCTCCCGAAGGACTCAGGGCGGTGTACAGCCTATTTAAAAGCACAAAAACAAAGACAACAGTTAAAATTTAAAATCATTAAATAATTAGGCTCCAATTAAAATCCCAGGAATTTAAAAATACCCCAATTTAAAACGTTATGTTAATAGCCCGGCCTGGTGGAACAACAGGGTCTTCAGAGCGCAGCGAAACACCCGGAGGTCGGAGATCTTACGTATTTCCGGGGGCAGTTCATTCCACAGGGCTGGGGCTCCCACAGAGAAGGCCCTCCCCCTGGGTGTCGCCAGCCGACATAACTTGGCCGATGGCACCCTGAGGAGACCCTCTCTGTGGGAGCGGACTGGTCAGTGGGAGGCTATTGGTGGCAGAAGTCGGTCTCGAAGGTACCTGGGTCCTATGCCATGGAGCGCTTTAAAGGTGGTAACCAACACCTTGAATCGCACCCGGAAGACCACTGGGAGCCAGTGCAGCTCACGCAGGAGGGGTGTCACGTGGGCGCAACGAGTTGCACCCATAACCACCCGCGCGGCCGCATTCTGGACCAGTTGGAGCCTCCGAATGCTCTTCAAGGGGAGCCCCATGTAGAGAGCATTACAGTAGTCCAACCGGGAGGTGACAAGGGCATGAGTGACCATGCGCAAGGCGTCCCGATCCAGAAAGGGCTGCAACTGGCGAATCAGGCGAACCTGATAAAAGGCCCCCCTGGCCACGGCCGTCATGTGCTCTTCTAAAGACAGCCGTGCGTCCAGGAGGACACCCAGATTGCGAGCCCTCTCTGTGGGGGGCAAAGATTCACCCCCAATAGTCAGCGATGGCACCTGCTGACTATATCGGGGCGCCGGAAGCCACAGCCACTCGGTCTTGGAGGGGTTGAGTCTGAGCCTATTCCTCCCCATCCAGGCCCGCACGGCCTCCAGGCAGCGGGACATCACATCAAGGGCATTGTTGGGGTGGTCTGGAGTGGAGATGTACATTACTAGAGTAAGGTGACCAGACGTCCCGCTTTTGGCGGGACAGTCCCGCTTTTGAGCAATTTGTCCCGCATCCCGCGGCGTTTTAAAAAAGTCCCGATTTTTCATTCTGCCTCCTGAGTCCCGGCTACCTCCTGAGTCCCAGCTGATGGCTAGAGGGAAAAAACCTGTTTAAACTCTTGCCGCGGGGCTTCAAAGGGCCGCCCTACGTTGATTAGCTCGGCTTCCCCCTCTCAGCTGATTTGCGCAGGGCTCTGCTCTTGCTAAATTGCTCAGCAGTTTTTTTTTTCTCTTTGTGCAAACCAAGCTCAAAACGAAACTGAAAGTAAAACAGGCTGTTGGCTTTGCTGTTTGCTTGCAACATTGGAAAATTAGGCAGCAGATTTATTTTCCTTTTCCTCACCAAAAAAGGTAGGTGCAAACAATGGGAAATTATTTAGGGCAAAAGAGATTTTAAATTCAAGATTTTAAAACACAAAAGAAAAAAAAGCTCTTTTTAACTAGGGAATTGTAATAATTGAGATACTATTAATTGTATACTGTGTTGAAAGCAGAAATGGTTAAATTGTGGTTTGGAGGAATATATGGGGGAAATTATTTGGTTTATTATTATTGGTAAATATAATTAATTGATTTGTAAGAAATTGGATTGCATGGAAATAATTGGAATATTCATGTTCATATTGATTAATATACAAAAAAGATAGTTATATAACTAATTGATTTATATTAAAATGTTGAATTTGTATTAAACAACTGTATTACATAATTACATAATTAACCAATGTGAGGATGGATATAAAAATAGATGACAATGGGAAGGGGTATAATATAGAATAGAAGGGAAAAATTGAATTTGATTAAGATTAGAGATGAGGATGAAGGGTAATATTGTTTTTTTAAAAAAATAGATGAGGAATAAATATGGCAAAAAGGAAATATAGAAATTGTAAATTTAATTGAAATGACTAAACACTGTTTAAATTTGTGAACCAGCCAAATATTCTGTTCAAAGAAAATACATTGTATGTTTGTATGTGTGTTTCTAATTATTGCTATTTATTCATATTTGTTCTCTTTTATTCTTTAAAGTTTAACCATTCATTCTTTATCTTAATATCTTTATATTTGTTTGGGGTTGGCTTTCTTCCCTTTCATCTTTTTTATTGTACAGCAATCTTTCTCCTCAAACCTACCACCTCTCTTTTCTTTCCTTCTTACTTTCTCTTCCCCCCACCCTCTTCTTCTCCTCCCTATTTCCTCTTCCTTTCTCCTTCTCCTCCTCTCTTCCTCCCTCTCTTACCCTCACTCCTACTCTAATTTCCCTTCCCTTCCTTCATCCCTCTCTATTACTGTATCCTTTTATGCATATGGATTACTCAGAGGGCTGAAAAAGTTATTTTTGACTGGTCCTCACACTTTTGACCAGTCCTTGAACTTACGACTGTCCTCACATTTTACATTTTTGCCCTATCTTGTCATCATGGTGAAGAGAAGCAGTTGTGAAATGAGTGACATGGTTGTTAAGAATGCTGCACGGGCATAAATGTGAGGATGGTCATAAGTGTGAGGACCAGTCAAAAGTGCGAGGACCAGTCAGAAATGACTTTTTTCAGCTCTCTGGTTAGTCCTTTTGTGCATATGGACTACTCGGAGGGCTGAAAAAGTTATTTTTGACTGGTCTTCGCACTTTTGACCAGTCCTCGAACTTACGACTGTCCTCACATTTTACGTTTTTGCCCTATCTTGTCACCATGGTGAAGAGAAGCAGTTGTGAAATGAGTGACATGGTTGTTAAGAATGTTGCACGGGCATAAATGTGAGGATGGTCATAAGTGTGAGGACCAGTCAAAAGTGTGAGGACCTGTCAGAAATGACTTTTCAGCCCTCTGAGTAGTCCCTATACACATAGCCATGGCCACCGGGTCACATGACCAGCTAGCCACGCCCACCCAGTCACATGGCCTCCAAGCCATGCCCACACAATAAGCCAAGCCCACAATGGTGTCCTTCTTACCAATGTTAAAATCTGTTCACCTTACCCTATACACATAGCCATGGCCACCCGGTCACATGACCAGCTAGCCACGCCCACCCAGTGACATGACCAGCTAGCCACGCCCACAAAATAAGCCACACCCACAATGTCCCTCTTTACCAATGTTAAAATCTGGTCACCTTATACTAGAGGCATTCCAGTTATGCTGGAACACAGACACACAGACACACACACACACACACCAGGGGTGTCTTACCCCCAACCCCAGTATTTTTTTCCAGAGAGTAAGTCATCTGTGTAGCAAGTTTGGTTAAAATTGCTTGAGCTATTCCAGAGTTATGCTGGATTGTATACATATATATATATACATACATAGATCCTTTTTTTATATAACAGATAGAAGAACAGATAATAACTACATAGATAATATGCCTGTAACTTTGTTGCTTGTATCCTTACGATTTATATTGATATTTATTGTTTCCTGATTGCTTATTTGCACCCTAAGACTATCATTAAGTGTTGTACCTTATGATTCTTGATGAACATATATTTTCTTTTATATATATTGAGAGCATATGCACCGAGACAAATTCCTTGTGTTTCCAATCACACTTGGCCAATAAAAATTGACTATTAATAATATCTTTGTGTGCATCTTCCTCCATCTCTCTCTCTCTCTCTCTCTCTCTCTCTCTCTCTCTCTCTCTCTCTCTCTCTCTCTCTCTCTCTCTCTCTCTCTGTATTATTCCTCTATTGTATTCTCTTAGATCCCTATTATGTTATGTATTTCTAAAAAAGAAAGAAAAGAAAGAAGAACAAGGGAAGAACATCAGAGTGTTAAAAACTACAGAATAAATTCTGTGTGGCAGCATTTAGATGTGATAAAAAGAAATGAACTATAGGTAATATGTATTGAGAAATTAATATCAAGGATAATACTAGTAAGCAATGGTTTAATAGCTCTAGGAAAGGAACTGTTGGCAGCATTAAAAAATTTGATCAGATGTTGCTGACGAAGTATACAGGAAAAGAAGATATGTTGATTACAACTGAGAAAGGTTTTATCATGAAAATCCAGTACATAAAACAGTCAGAAAGATTTCTCCAGGACCAACCAGGGTAAACCAAAGTGTTGGCAAGGACAAAATTCCACAGAATTAACAGGCAAAGAGAATGCTTTGGGGGGGGGGGAATTTTGAAAGCCTTACAACCTCTTTCTACCTCCCTATGCCCAGATTTGCTTAGGTTAGGCATTAGCAAGAAAAGCTAACATATTACAGTCAGTTCTTGAGTTATGGCCCACTTGTAGCCTCCCCATCACTGTCATAACTTGCTATGGTCTTAAAGTGGGTCAACTCACTTGACAATTTAATGACGTTTTTGTACTGGCCATTAAACAAATTACTGTAGTCATTACACAAATCCATAGTTGTTAAGAGAAGCAATGATTCGCTATGGGCTGGGGTCTGCCAAAAACTGGAAATCAGTGCCAGTTTTTGGCAAAACTGTCATAACACTGTGTCATGTGACTGAAGGACATTATAAATGCAACCCAGTTTCCCAGTGACCAAAATGTGATCATGTCACCACTGGGGTGGGCAACTGTCAGAATTTCATATCCAAGTTGTAAGTGTCCCCTTTGGAACTTTGAAAGTCATTAAACAATGAGTCATTAGTCAAGCGCTATCTGTAGTGTGGATTAAGTGTGTAGCAGGTACTGGTTTACTAGTTTCAACAAAAATGGGAACTAATTTTCTAGGAGGGAAATTTGTTAGCTCGCATTTCATAAGGGTAAATAGGAAGTGCAAGTTTGTCAAAACAGGTAAGATAATTTAAATGTAAATATAATTTCAGCATGTGAAGAACCAGATGAGATTGACTTTGGGGAAATTGTGAGTGCTGAGAAAGCCAAATACCTGGAAAATGACCGAGTGCAATACAGGTGCAACCCTTCCTATGTCTTGGAGGGACCTGAATGGATTCAATGTAACGGACAAAAATGGACACCTCATCCACCAAAATGCTTGGGTAAGCCATCATGCTTTCTTTGACTAGTTAGACCTGGGAGAAAATGCTGAATTCATCCAATAGGAGAATAGTAGCTGCCATTTTTAGAAATAAATTAGCTTGAATTAGGATCCAGATTTTACTGAAGCCAAAACTGTCCTGGTGTCAGCTTTTTCTTTTGAAATCTGGAAAATTTAACTGTGTTTCATTTTCCTGATTTGCTTGAATGAGCAAGCAAACCAGCTGGTATAATTAAATAATATTCAATTGGAAGCTTGGGCTCCCTTATCAGGAATCTGAGAAACTGTGGAATTCAGCTACATATGGATACAATATCAATGGCTAATGAGGTAGGAAAGTGAATTCTGTTGCTATGGAGTCCATATGGTTACACTTCTGAAGAAGAAAAATATTTGAGTCTAGCAATTAGGATTAATTCAGCAAAGATTCCTGCATTATCATTTCTTCTGTATTAATAGTACACAAACTAGATCCCACCCTCCTTGTGGGTAATTCATCGCATTATCACATCCTCTCTGACTACCTCTCTGTGAAATAATGGAAGATCAGACAATTCGGTACAGTTTCTCCAGAAATTATTCAGAGGACAAAATATCTTCGCTGAAACATTTCTGACTAAGACTCAGATTCATTCACTCACTCACTCACTCATTCATTCACTCACTGACTCACTCACTCACCCATCCATCCATCCATCCATCCATCCATCCATCCATCCATTCTTCATATTTCTAAACTGCCCATCTCCCTCAAAGAAGGAGTGTATCTGACTGATATCCTGGTAGTAGCTTTTCCTCAAGTTCCCCAATGTTATTCCTTGTCCTCATTACAGATATTAAGCTATTATTTGTTATTTATTTCTTAATTTTTGAGGGGAAAATTCCTCTTTCTTTAACCTGGAAGGCGGGCGGGGGGGGGCACCTTTCAATGTGGAAGCTGTTACAACTTATCTGCTTCTCTTGTCCTTGAATAGAGAATAAAAGTGTTTTTCATGCTTTCAAATGAAATAATTTTTTGGGAAGGAAATGAAAAAAGAATGTCCTCCAATTTACAAGTTTTATTTGAAAATATAATGAAAAAATTGATGGGTCAATAACGTTTGTGCAAACTCAAGATGAGATCCAAAAGCAGGAAATAACAATTGTACTCAATCTGCAATTTGAGGATTTGGAACCCAATTTAATTTAATTTAATTTATCGCATTTCTATGCCGCCCAACTCCCAAGGGACTCTGGGCGGCTTACAGCAAAAATAATGCAAACATAGAAAAATTATTTAAAAACATTATAAAAACATTTTAAAAACATTAAAAGCCCATGCACACCATTCATGGCCGGATCTCGCAAGATTGCAACAGCAAGATCAACAGCCCCAGACCTACCGGAAAAGACAGGTCTTCACCGCTTTCTGGAAGGCCAATAGGGTGGGGTAGTTAGGATCTCAGGAAGTAACTGGTTCCAGAGAGCTGGGGCAGCCACAGAGAAGGCCCTCCCCCATGGGCCCACCAGCCGGCATTGTTTAGCTGATGGGACCCAGAGGAGATCAATTCTGTGGTATCTGGAAGCTATGCAGTAGAAGGTGCATAGTTTCTGTCAGATGTGAAGAAGAAAGTATTTGGTTGAAAAAAATTTAGATTTGCCAGAAAAGATTAAAAAGAATATGAATGTAAGAAATGCTGAGACAATGGATAAGATGAAGGATGAACTAGACTTTGTGGCAAGGGCAATATTGTGTTGTTAAGGAGAATTATTCATTTATTTATTTATTTATTTATTTTACTTCAAATTTATATAGCACCCTTCTCCCTAGGGACTCAGGGCGGTATACAGCCAAGTAAAAACACATAAATACATAATACATAATATATAAATTAAGAACAGATTAAAAGGAAATATCTCAATTTGGCCCAAAATTTAAAAAGACAAACGAATTTAAAATCATTTAAAAGGATTTGTTAGGCCAGCCCGGCTTGTTGAAAAAGGAAAGTTTTAAGGGCACGGCGGAAGGCACGGAGGTCTTGGATTCTCCTTATCTCTAGGGGCAGTTGATTCCAGAGGATGGGAGCCCCCACAGAGAAGGCCCTCCCCCTGGGGGTCACCAGCCTGCATTGCTTGGCTGATGGCACCCCGAGGAGGCCCTCTCTGTGGGAGCACACGGGTCAATGGGAGGTCGTCGGTGGCAGAAGGCGGTCTCGAAGATAACTAGGTCCTATGCCATGGAGCGCTTTAAAGGTGGTAACCAACACCTTGAAGTGCACCTGGAAGACCACTGGGAGCCAGTGCAGCTAGCGCAGGAGCGGTGTTATGCGGGAGCGCCATACATCTCTTGTAATTACCCGTGCGGCTGCATTCTGGACCAGTTGGAGCCTCTGGGTGCTCCTCAAGGGGAGCCCCATGTAGAGAGCATTGCAGTAGTCCAGGTGAGAGGTGACGAGGGCATGAGTGACTGTGCACATGGAATCCCGATCAAGAAAGGGGCGCAACTGGTGAATCAGGTGAACCTGACAAAAGGTCCCCCTGGCAACAGCTGTCAGATGTTCCTCCAAGGACAGCTGCGTATCCAGGAGGACACCCAGATTGCACGCCCTCTCCACGGAGGCCAAAGACTCGTCCCCGATAGTCAGCGATGGAGTCAGCTGACTATATCAGGATGCTGGGAACCACAGCCACTCGGTCTTGGAAGGGTTGAGCTTTAGCCTGTTCCTCCCCATCCAGATCCGTACAGCCTCCAGGCACTGGGCCATCACATCAAGGGCATCGCTGGGGTGGCCTGGGGTGGAGATGTACAGCTGGGTGTCATCAGCGTACTGGTGGTATCTCACCCCAAAGCCACGGATGATCTCGCCCAGCGGCTTCACATAAATGTTGAACAGAAAGGGCGAGAGGACCGACCCTTGTGGCACTCCACAAATGAGAGGCCTCGAGGTCGACCTCTGCCCCCCTGTCAACACAAACTGCGACCGGTCGGAGAAAAAGGAGGAGAACCACCGTAACACGGTGCCTCCCATCGACCATGGTCGATGGTATCAAAAGCCGCTGAGAGATCTAATAGGACCAGAACAGAGGAGCAACCCCTGTCCCGAGCCCTCCAGAGATCATCAACCAACGTGACCAATGCCGTTTCCGTGCTGTGCCCAGGCCTGAAACCCGACTGGAACAGATCTAGATAGGACGTTTCCTCCAGGAATTGTGGAAACTGTCGTGCGACCACACTCTCAACAACCTTCTCCACGAAGCGAAGGTTGGAGACAGGACGGTAGTTAGCCAATACTGCTGGGTCCAGGGAGGGCTTCTTGAGGAGAGGCCTCACCACCGCCTCTTTCAAGGCAGCGGGGAAGTGACCCTCACTCAATGAAGCGTTGATAATTCCCTGGAGCCAGCCTCGTGTGACCTCCCGGAAAGCCAGTACTAACCAGGAGGTACACGGGTCCAGTAAACATGTGGTCACATTAAGTCTCCCCAAAATCCTGTCCACATCATCAATGGATGTTGCAGAGATATTTACAACAGAGTGTCAGGTCCACCATTATGTCCTGCCATTTGGTTGAAGGAAGGCTTGCTGACATTTTTTGCATGCTTTCACTTTTGCTAAACTGCTTGGGAACCAGGGAAGGGGATTGTCTTCAGAGCTGGAGCAGACTCCCTCACAGCTGGTTCCAGCTTGATTCCAAGGCAATCGTGCCCTGAGAATGACTTGTTACCTGCCTAGCACCTTACCATTCTCAAAACATCTTTGTGGCATCACATTGGTGAACTGGTCGGGGGGGGGGGGGTTTTGGGAAAATGGAAGAATTGCTTTGTGCTTTGCATGGGACCTTCATATTCTGCCTGACTTTACTGCAACCACTTTCTCTCAGTAAAAATTCTTTTGATTCAACTCAATATAGTAAACAGTAAAGGCTTTCCTGAGGGACCAGCTGTGCAGGTCCTTACACAGAGACTTGTGAACTTTGCAAATGAGATGCAATTTTTGGGAAAGTTCCCAATTAAAAACCTAAGGAAAGGTTATATTATAAGAACCAAACAAAGGTATTTGATGCTGGACTCAAGTGATAATGACCAGGGTGATTTGTGGTAAATACCAAAACAGACTTTAACAGAGTGTTTTGAACTTTAGCTTTGCTGTTGTTTAAATTGTTTAAAAAAATCATATATGTACTGTATCTCAGGTCAGTTGGATTGCAAATAGATGTACAAGCTTAGAAATTTTGGACCTGCTTTGCAAGGGGAGGGGAGTTTTTATTGTTGCAATAGATTTGTCAGTGTTGAACTAAGGGAATAATATACGTTTTTGTCCTTTTTTTATTTCCTCTTTTTAAAATGTTTGTGTCTGGCTTTGTTTTGTCTCTTTTTGGTTCCTTTGGGATTTTCTATTTTAACCTCTTCAATAAAGAGAAAATTGTAAAAATAAAATAAAATAAAATATAAAATATAAAATAAAATAATACAATAAAATAGTAAAGGAATCCAAGAGCCAATCTTCTATGCTTAGATAAGTTGAGAAGTTTTGCATCATATTTCAACACTCCATCTGTCTGAAATTTTGTTCCATTACAACTTGGCCAACTCAAAATGTCTTTGCAGAAGATTCTGAATTGGGCTGTTTGTTCTTAGCTTGAAAGAAACAACATCATCTCCTACAAGCCAGTCCTTTCTATAGCGGAATCTCACATTGATTATCATTAATATTGTGGTATAACTTAGCTTATTTGATTTTTTACCATTGTTATTGGTAAACTGGGTTGATTTTCTTGGTAGTGGAACAGAGGGAAACCAATGGACAAATTACCTCCCTTGAGAAGATCTACTTTCTTTTCTCTTTTTTAGCACCCTGCAGTATCACAAGACAACAGCTAACAAGAAAAAACTTGTTTGTGTTTGGGAATCAAAGAAAAGCTCAGTTTATTCAAAGTGATCATAGCCTGCAGTTTCAGTGCAATGAAGGATATGTCCTCGTGGTTCCATCAGTCAGAAAGTGTGTTGATGGTTACATGGATTTGCCTTTATGTATCTCCGGTAAGCATGCTATCAATATGATGGATTCCTCTGGAATCATAACTAATTAAAATAATTAATATAACAAACATGAACATTTGCTTCTAAAGTCCCATTCTTTTAAACATGATTTACTCTTCAATGACATCATTCACATCTTGATTAGAATTTTAGTAGTTGTAATCTAAAACAAGAACCCTGAAGCACATCAGATTGGGGAAGGATGTTATGATATTTTCCCAAACTCTTGAACTTCAGCTAAGAACTATGATTCCATATGGTTGAAGATATGCATAATATTGGTAGACATAGGAATATGTTTCAAAAATTGCAAAGGTTGTAGCCCCATATTTTGCATGATGAAAAAATCTCTTTTGTTTGAAATTGCTTGGATGAATTAATCATATAGTCATGTTAATATTGATCTGACTGGTATTATTATTTAATTAATAATTCCATAGGTTTGGGTGATGAAGGATATTTTATTATTCTTTGTTTGAAGACATTGAATTTTCAGATTGTTATAATTTTTGTAGCCCTACAAAAGATTAGTTCAGAAGATATTTTTTAAAATTGTCACTCGGCCCCTTCATCGTCATTTATAAGGCCATGGTGGTGTAGTGGTTAAAATGCAGTACTGTTGTAGACAAAATAACGGACTGGGCAAGCTCTTCAATGCAGGCGCCTCTGATTTCCTCCTCCGCTCCCTCCAGCAGCCCCCTTACTTTTCCTGCCTGCTCAGATACACATAACCCGACTGTTTCAGCCCTACATTGCAATAAATCCTCAGCTTTTTTCAACAGGGCTCTCACCCATTGATCAATATATTGAAATTGATCAGGATATTTATCCTGATTCACTGCAATCACTCCCCACAACTTATCCACTGTTTCTTCCCTTAACCATCCCTGAGGGGGAGGGGGTCAGGCCATCTCCCTTTGTGGCCACACATATTTACATAAGAATTTTAATTGATCCTTTGATCCTTTCGGATAGGAAGGGTTGCTAAAATACTTGTCAAAACCTTTTAACATGCATGCCAACGGAGTATTTGGCACGCTCTGAACCCCATCCCTTCTATCACACTGCCGTCGACTCATAGTCCCGGAAACTCACAGCCACTAATGAGAAATGCGACGGCTTAACCACCCACACAACCTGACATGGACTTCATTAGGGTAGCCTACCCCGAGTCCGAGGGAGTGATCAATTCCCTCCTTCTGCTTTCAAATGAAGCAGGTACAATTCTTTTACAATATACTCACTTAAAAACGCTCCCACTCCGTGGATTCCTGGCCAGGAATTTGTTCAGACCACCTTTCCTGCACCGCAGGGTTCTTGGACTCGATCAGAGCACCGTCGGGCCCACAGGGTTATCGCGGCTGTCTCCCGGAGATGTATCTCCGTGGCGCCTGGAGAATGTTCAGGAGCGACCTCCCGATGGTCCCGAGGGGTCGAAACGGTCCTCAGCGAAATATCGCCTTGCACCTAGTCCCGGCGGAGTCGCCAGCTGTTGTAGACAAAATAACGGACTGGGCAAGCTCTTCAATGCAGGAAAGAGTTTATTTGCGCAAGGTTCAAACAGTCCAAAGACAGCTAAGGGTCTGAACGCCGATGGCTTCTTCTGGCCATGTATTTATACAATTTAAAGGCAAAAGTATTACAGAGAGTGATGCATTTCACACGTAGAAGCTACCCTTTAATCTATCTCTAGGAAAGACATAACAGCCCTGTTCCCACAGGCTCAGGTTTTCAGCTCCGGAGCTCAAGACATAACAAAAGGAGATAAGAGGCTAGAAGACGCCTCACAAGCAGTAAAGAGGACAGTAAGGGAAACAGTATTTTCTCTCTGAAATCTACATGACATTTGGGGTACAATAAACATTAAACAACAGAATGTATCTGGTTAGGGTCAGTTTGCCCTTTTACAATTCTGTACCTACGTCAAATACCGTTTGTCATCTCAGCACCTTGGCACGGGAGAGGCACTTCTGTCTTGACCAAAGATTTGGATTTCTAATATTTGAGTTTTATCCCAATATCGAATCTTAGCCTGGCTCAGTACTGCAGGCTATTTCTGCTGATTCTTACCGGCTCAACGTTGACTCAGCCTTCCATCCTTCTGAGATCGGTAAAATGAGGAGCCAGATTGTTGGGAGCAATATGCTGACTCTGTAAACTGCTTAGAGAGGTCTGTAAAGCACTGTGAAGCAGTGTGAATAGCACTGTGAGTTGCTATTGTTATTTGTAGGTGGAAGTCTAAATCTTATGCATTTTCAATCTGATAGAACTATTTCTCCTAAGAAACATATTTATAAAATAATCGGAAAGTGATGTAAATTGAATAAGCAGATAAATTGTTAGCATGTTGTTTAAAATAAGTGAAACAACAAAATATAAAGTTGGAAATGCTCTGGCTCTACATAAGAGGGCCAGAGCATTACAGATCCTGTGTGTATTAATTTACTTTTTTCCAATGGAATGAGCAATTATATAATGCTGATATTATTATGCAGTTATTTATTTATTATTTATTTATTATATTTCTATACTGCCTTTCTCCCGTAGGACTCAAGGCGGTGTACAGTCAAGAAAAATATAGATACACAAACATCACTCTCTTTAATGGAGAGTGTCAGTGTTGCAAGATAGACCCAGACAGGATGAATGATCCGATTAGCTAATTCTAATTTTCTATAGAGTTACATTAATAGAATCCTGCAATCCTAAAGTACATTCCTTCCCCCCTGTGTCCTTTACAGCCCTTGAAACTGGGAGGGTCTCTTCTTATCCACTTGCCCTGACTGTTCCTGGCAAGGACTAAGTTGCCTTTTATTTGATGGTTCCCTTGGCTGCATTTCTTTTCCTTTTGTCCCGAGATTATTTCTACATACTATTACATCATATATTTCTGTCAAGATGTTGATCAATACAGAGCACAATCGATGCTCTATGTATCAATGTATAGCAAAAGAAAAAAAAAAGAGGTCATGAGCATTTGGGTACATTTGTGCTCTATTGAGTTGTAGATTGTGTTTTTATTTGAATTTCACAAATATTTAACTTAATAAGTAAGTTATAAATTATGAAAGAATTCTACTTTAAAATACTAATATTTTTAAACCATTTTTTGGTAATTGTTATTTTAAGGAATGTCAGTAAAACCAGTTTACATTTCCTGGCCTATTGGTTTTTTTCCACGTAATAGAGAGAGGAAAAAACTGCAGTGGTCCACCCAGGACTGAGAACGGAGACATTACTACTTTATCTGAGAAGCAGTACAGATCTGGCTCTTCAGTAGAATTCAGATGCCAAACATATTATGCCATAGGAGGCCAGAACAGATCTTTTTGTAACAATGGGACCTGGACAAAGGTGCCAATTTGCCTTGGTAAGTAGAAAAGAAAATCTTCATTCAATTTTCATAAGCATTTCTAATCATTAAAGTTCACTGCCTTCTTTCTCATTTAATTGGGCTTGCCTGAATCAGCTCTCCTTTATATTCAATTTCATTTCTGTATCTGAGGTGAAGTAGCTAGTCGATGAAAGCTAAATTCTACTATTAGCATTTTGCAATGATAATATGATGCATTTGGATCCTGACAGAATTTCCTTTCTTTTTCATGTCAGATCCCTGTATGATCCCCAGGACTGAACTGGAAAGCCAGAAGATAGAAGTTAAAGATGAAATAGGTGCACCTGAAAATATATTTGTGCAACATGGTCATTCTATTGAGCTCGCCTGTAGAACAGGATATGTCCTGGCAGCAAATTCTTCCAAATCAGCTTTTGTAATCCATTGTGATGGGACACCACCAGTGTTTCCTAAATGCAAAGGTGACTTTAAAAAGCTTAATTTTATAATCCTGCTATCACCAATCCACAGCCAAAGCACTTCAGTTTGAGCCTATTTATCATTAGAGCTGGAATAAACCACAATCATTTACATATGAAAAAGAGCCTTGGTGGCGCAGCAGACTAAAGTGCTATTAAGTAGCACCAGCTGCCTGCAATTACTGCAAGTTCGAATCTCACCAGGCTCAAGGTTGACTCAGCCTTCCATCCTTTTGAGGTAGGTAAAATGAGGACCCGGATTGTGGGGGCAATAAACTGACTTTGTATAAAAAAAGAACACCACTTAGGGGGCCCCGAAAGCCCTACTAAGCAGGTATATTCAAAAGTATGAAGGCTATTGCTTAACGCATTGTAGGCCGCCCTGAGTCTCCAGAGAAGGGCGGCATATAAATTGAACCAATAAATAAACAATAAATAAGTATGTCCTTTAGTGGGGCAGATATTTTTATCTCTCTGAAACCTCCCTGGACTGCACTTTTCCATTCTGCAAGGGCCCAATGGAAACTCTTGGGATGTAGTTGAAATAGGAGAAACCTGAAAGACTGCAGATTGCTGGAGAGGGAGTAGTGCAATGAACAACATACCTGTGACCATTTCATGGCTTAATTATTGCAATAACTGCCACATTGTACCCTTGAAAATTGTTCATCAATGTAAGGTAATATATGCACATAACAATATTTTTATATCATTGAATGGTACAGTAATTTGTTTTGCTGCAGTAAACTCTATACCTGATTTACTATATATTTCTGTTTTTAAGGAATTTATAAACCAAAATCTAAACACCAATACCAAAAGAAATTCCAATCTAGTTGCTAGCAAGAATATAGAAACTTTTTAGTTACTGCTAGAGAACATTGCTTTGCATTTGATCTTGGGACTAGTAGAGTAGTGAATGTCTAATGAGGGACATTTCACAATTTCAGCAGTTCCACCTTTCCCAGAACCAGCAGTTCCACCACAGGTATCAGAAGAACTTCATGGAGATGTTGGTTTGTTTATGCATTCATGCCATTTCTGTACCGTGATTATCCTTGTGGATTCCAGGAAGTTTACAGATATTAAAATAAGCACTAAAATAATACAAAATTCAATAATATGACTAAAATCAAATCATAAGAAAAATGCACTCATATAGACGAAAATGCCTGTGGTTCTACTGGCTTCAGGAAGATCAAGAGAGCGGTTGTCATACTCAATTTAGGGCAGCTGTTTCCAAGGAGGGGAGCTGCAAAGAGAAGATATGATATTACTCCCTGACTAACCTGAAAGCTGGAGACTCTTAGTCGTCTTGCCATCCACGTTAGACAAATTATGGTTATTTGGAAAACTCAGTGTCATACTTGTCATACGCTTGAGCTATAACCAACTTTAAAAGTCATGTCCAGCACTTTGGATTGCACTCAGAGGTACATTGGTAGCCAGTGCAGCTCCTGCAGCAGTGATGTAACATAGCAGAACTAAATGTATACACTGAGCATACAGGATATTGAATTCCAGACCAACTGATGTTTTGATGGTATCCCCAGGGCAATTTCAGGAAGAGCTAATTAATTGTTAAATTACATGCTAAGAAGTTGATATCAACTCTCAGCAATCACAAAGATTGATTTTCTCCAGGAAATCTGCCCCAATCTTCAAATCTTCTAGCAATGCATCCATTGCCACAGTAACTGAATTGTTGTTGGTGATACTCTACCTCAGAGTTATCATTAGAGAATCTATAATATAGATAGAGGGCCGCTTCTAATTCTGAACAGAATTTGAACATAAATGGGACTAGGAACAAGCCCTGCGGGCTCCATCACAGCCTTTGAAAGCCTGATCTCTTTCCCCTGTCGCCAAGAACATCAACAACCTCAGGCAGAAGTGGAACCACTGCAATGTGGAGCTCCTAATTTTACAACCTTGCAGGTGGTTGAAAATGCTAGTGGGATTGACAACAGGACTGAATAGCAAGAAGAGGGGTATTAAATTGTAGTTTTATGTTTCAACTCAAAGCAAAGTAAAGAATAATTATAGGAACTGGCTGAATTTATTTATGATGTTCCAAATAAATAATAGCCAAGAGCTACTAAAAGTAATAAAAGCTCCATTACAAAGAATTTGAAGGCCTGACCTCTTTTCCCTGTCACCATTAACTGAAACTGTAACCTCAGACAGGAGAGGGACTACTACAATGTGGAACCCCTGATTTGTAACCTTGCAGGTGGCTGAAAATCCTACCAGGCTCAACAGTGGGACTAAAAAGTAAGAATGATGGTATCAAGTATGGGGGTATAGGGGTATCAAATTGTAGCTTTTTATTTCAATTGGAAACCAAAGTGAAGGAGGAGAATAATTACAACAACTTTCTGAATTTATTTATTTATTTTATTTATTTATTTATTTTTATTAGATTTATATGCCGCCCTTCTCCGGAGACTCAGGGCGGCTTACAATGCGTTAAGCAATAGCCTTCATACTTTTGTATATTTTATACAAAGTCAGCTTATTGCCCCCACAACTGGGTCCTCAATTTACCTACCTTAGAAAGGATGGAAGGCTGAGTCAACCTTGAGCCTGGGGAGATTCGAACATGCAATAATTGCAGACAGCTGAATGTTAATAACAGGCTTTTAGTCTGTTGAGCTATCCAGATATTTATTTGATCTTTCAAATAAATACAAGGCTACTAAAAGCACTTTTAATCAATATGACTAATTTCACAGTATATTTTAGAACCTAACTGGCAGTTTTAAATTAGTTGTGCCCATCAGTAGGATGTCTATTGATTAATATGTTCTTGTGGTGCTATATAGATATTTAAAATAGTAATATTGTTTTCTGTGCTTATAGAAATCAATGTCTACAATCTGATATGAGTGCACGTTTTCCTTTTTTCATATAATATATGATTTATTTTCTCTAGAAATTACATGCAACTCTCCAAGAATATCTAATGGTACTTTCCGACCTCAAAGAACTATATATCATGATGGGGATCTAATTCGAATTCAGTGTGACAGTGGATTTACTTTTGATCCAGATAATGGAGAAAAGGTGGTTGAATGCACAAAGAATGGATGGTCACCTCCACCAAAATGTATCAGTAAGTAGAACTAGTGTACATTACTATGATTGTAGAATGGCTGATATATTTAACTCTGTACAAGAGTACTTTTTAATACTATTTTACATGATTTTCCAGTTTTCTGCCTGTCAGGGCATTGATTAATCCCATGTTTGTCTCTGGGACAAATCACCTTGGTTTAATTAGAGGATGGATCGTGGCTCCTCCTTGTTGCAATATTCTGAAAAAGAAACGCGAAGAAAAGTTCTCTAATAAAACTCATTTATTTGTTATAAAGAAAATAAAACACCTCACTGACTAAGAAAAGTAATTGCTACATTTTTGAAATAATTCTTGCCGGCTATTTCTCAGCTGGACCTTTCTGGAAAGAGAACAAAGGAAAGAGTGTGTGAAGCAAGTGAAGGAATGCAGACATGCGTAGTAACTTTTGATAACAATTCTTGGCAAGGTACGGAAAGTCTGATAGTCCAGAAATATGAAGCTCAGCTGGTAAATAAAATAACGCAGTGATACTGCCAAAGGGGCATATTTCATCCAGAGCATTTTAACAGTATTTACATATATATAATGTATTTTTCAGAGTATAAGATGCACCTTTTTACCCCCCAAAAGAGGGTGAAAATCTGGGTGTGTCTTATAGTCTGAATCAGAGATGGGTTTCAGCAGGTTCTGACCAGAGAACAGTTCTGGAGAACTGGTCATAGCGAAAATTTTGAGTAGTTCGAAGAACCAGTAGTAAAAATTCTGACTGGCCCCGCCTCTATCTATTCTCTGCTTCCCAAATCCCAGCTGATTGGGAGGAAGTGGGGATTTTGCAGTAACCTTCCCCTGGATTGGGGGCGGAATGGAGATTTTACAGTATACTTCCCCTGCCATGCCTACCAAGCCATGCCCACCAGGCCATGCCATGCCAACCAAGCCATACCCACAGAACTGGTAGTAAAACATTTGAAACCCACCATCAGTCTGAATGTAGCTCTGCCCACCCATCTTCGGATATTTTTGGGCTCCATGTGTCATATTTTTACGTGGTTCCAGGTGGCAGGGATCAGGGCACAGCCTGAGGAACGACCCTCTTTGGGATGGCTTGGGGGGGGCAGCTTCGGCAAACAAGACGGGCCCCATGGTTCGCAGCTGGTCTGCCCTCTGGCTGCCCAGTGGGCAGCTCAGGGCAAACAATGGCCATGATGACTTCACTCCCCAGCAATGTAAGGAGATACTGAACTCTCTCTGTGCCCGGGAGCCGAGCTGAGCGGGAGCCCCTAAAGCGAAATGTCCCTCCTTTCCAGCCACCGCCACCCATTGGCCCAATTCCCCAATGCAATTCACAGAGCCATGTTTCAGGCAGCGGCTGGTTCCCCTGCAATGTGCATCAGGGAACAGGGAATCGTTTTTGGATTCGGGGACGGAATTGCAGCACTGCCACCTGAAAATGCTTTTCTCCCAAATGCACATTGCAGAGCTGTGCGCCCTCCTCCTCCTTCTCAGCAGACTCACCTTCTCTTTCCTCCTGGCCAGATCCACTGCCTGAAACGCAATGCACTTTTTTTGCTTCTGCGTGTCCCATTTTTGGAATCAGGAAGGAAAGCATTTTTGGGTGGCAGACTCGTGATCCCCTTTCTGATTCCAAAAATGGGGCGTGGAATATGGTGGACCCTACAATCTGAGCCTAGGGCCTGGCAATTATAGTCCCAATCATATTATTATTATTATTATTATTATTATTATTATTATTATTATTATTATTATTATTATTATTATTATTATTATTACTATTATTATTATTATTATTATTACTATTATTATTATAGATAAAAAGAGCAACATGTTCAAAATACATATATACAATATATTTTCTGGTTACAGTTCTTTACAGTAATACTCATCATAATCATAATAGTATTTTCTAATGGTAGTTTCATAATAACAGTTCTTTTTCCTCATAACATTAATACATACTAATTAGTAATACTAATCAAAAATAATCAAAATTAATAAATTACAGTAAACAACCATAATAGTGAGATTAATCTTTCTCTTGTAATCTTCGAGATTCTAACTCCAGTTTCTCTTATTTAACTATTATCTATCATAGTTTGTTTTACGTGTTCCTCTTCCATTCTGATAGTTAATAAATAATTATAAAAAATTTCAATCAGTTTATCCTCTGGTCCTGTTAAAATTTGATCCAACTCTGTTGGTTCTTTTAAAAAACCATACATTTTGGCATCTTTATGATATCTAGATTGTATCTGTGGATGCGGCCACCATGCTAAATTTATCCCTTGGTTATTCAATTCCTATTTGTTTTTCAATTCCCCCTTCTCTTTTAAAATGCCTTCCGCCGTGCCCTTAAAACCTTCCTTTTCCAGCAAGCCGGGCTGGCCTAATTTTTAAGTGTTTTTAAGTGTTTTGTTTATTGTTTTTAATTAATGGGGCCAAATTTATATATGTATATTTTAACTGTATTTTAATATTTGTACTTGATGTTTTTACTTGGCTGTTCACCGCCCTGAGTCCTCAGGGAGAAGGGCGGTATACAAATTCAAAATAAAATAAAATAAAATAAAATATCTCTATACGTTACAATTTTTCCCATGTCCATCACATTTGGATATGCTAGTGCCTCCATCGTGTAGAGCCAGACTGGCATTTTCAAGAAATGTTTTTCCTTGATTTTTGCCCATACTGAGAGTAGGGCATTTCTAATGTAGTGTCCCTGAAAGTATTTATGTGCTATATATTTCTCATGCCATAGAAAGGCATGCCAGTTGTAAATCGTGTCCCTACAGTACACCTAATTGTCTATGTCTCAGGATTATCCATTCTTTTAGCAAGGTAAGGGAAGCTGCTTGATAGTATAGTTCCCAGTTTGGCAGCCCAAAACCTCCTCCATTGATAGAGTCTTGCATTAATTTCAACCTAATCCTTGCCTTTCTGCCTTGCCATATAAATTTGGTTACCATTCTATTTAATTCCTTGAAATATTTCCTTTCTAGCTTTATTGGAATTGTTTGGAACAAGTACAACAGTCTCGGTAAGATATTCATTTTGTCCCAGTCTTTAAGAAAGGAAAAGAGATGAAGGAAACTGGTTTTAGGGAAGATAGCACTGATTGAAAAATATTCAGTCAACAATGTATCATTGTATGCTGCCCTCATTGATATTGAAGCCGCTTTTGACTCTGTATTCAGGACCAAATTATGGGAGTAGCTGGAAGTTGCATCAATTGATTATCTCCATTTAGAGGTGTGGAAGTGCACTGATTAAAATTCTCACTGCTCAATGCCAGGTGTTTGAATCTGATCAGCTCGAGGTTAACTCAGCCTTCTGAGGTCAGTAAAAAAAATTTGAAAGGTTTTTCAGTTTTATTTCTTATACACATAATATAAAATGTACATTTTCTTATACATAATTAATCATACATATACATGTATGTTCTTTCCTTAAAGAAAGCATTAAATAAGGCATTTTAATTACATTCGGAATTGCTCTTCTACCCTTTCTTCCCTCATTTTGCAACAAACCTTCTTCTTCTCCTCTTCTTTCCCTTCCCTCCCTCCCTCCTCTCCTCTCCTACTTTCTCCTTCCTCCTCTCCTACCTCATCCTACTTCCCCTTCCTTTCCCCCATTACTCTCTTCTTTTCCCCTTCTCACCTTCTCTCCTACTCCTGTCCCCTACCCTTCCTTCCTCTCCTTTTCCCTTTCTTCCATTCCTCTCCCTCCCTCTCCTCTTCCTACCCTCTACTCCTCTACTCCTCTCTCCTTTCTATCTTCTTTGCTGTGGGATATTCTTCTTGTTTGGTATCCGAGCATCTCCTGTATTCTAATAGTATACACTTTCTTTCAATTTCTTTTCAGATTTATTCTATCAGTGCTATCATCATAATTGTACATTTATTCTTATTATCTTCTTTCTTTTCCCCCCCTCCCATCCCCCTTTTTCATTTACTCAGGTGTCATCTGGGTTTCTATTTCTTTTTTATCCTCTCCCTCGTTTAACTTTCTATTATCTAAATAATTTATCTATCCTCTTATCTTCATATTTTTTTTCTAACAGGAGTGAAATGCTCCCGGTTCGGACTGGATCACCCGATCTAGTAGCGATGGAGGTGGGTGGTTTGGAGAACCGGTAGCAAAAATCCCTCCCCCCCCCATTGCCCAGCTGAGCTGCGCAATCATCAGAGGCTTTTTTTTTAATTTTTAAAAGCATTTTTTCTACAACCTCTTTGGCCTTTTAAAAGTTAAAAAAAAAAGCCTCTGATGATTGGGCAGCTCAGCTGGGATCATCAGAGACTTTTAAAAGCATTTTTTCTACAACCTCTTCGGCCGAAGAGGTTATAGAAAAAATGTTTTTAAAAGGAAAAAATGCCTCTGCTGATCAGGCAAGTCAGCTGGGATTGTCAGAGGCTTTAAAAAAAAGCGAGAAAGCCTCTGCCGATCAGACAAGTCAGCTAGGATCGTCAGAGGCTTTAAAAGCATTTTTTTTACAATGGTTTTAAAAATGGTTTTAAAAGTACAAAAAAAAGAGTTGGCCACGCCCACTCAGTTATAGTACACCCCCCCAAGCCACATCCACAGAACCTGTAGTAACAAATTTTACATTTCACCACTGTTTTCTAACCATATATAAAATCTTCCCCATGTCTTGAAATACACTGATTCCTCTTTATCTCTTATTCTTAAAGTTAATTTATTCATTTTCGCACAGTCTAAAATCTTTTTACTCTTTCCCATACTACCAACAAACCATTCCTTACACAATGTCTCTAGAAGTATCCATGGATCCAATTTTTTTCCATACCATAAGAAAGGATGCCATCCTAGTTGTAAGTCATGTCCTTCCAAAGTCAACAGTCTTGTATTTCTCAGTAAGATCCATTCTTTAATCCAAGTTAACATCGCTGCTTGGCGATACAATTCCCAATTTGGAAGACCAAATCCTCCTCTAATTCTGGAATCTTGAAGCGATTTAAGGTTAATTCTCACTTTTTTCCCTATATTTGTTTGGATTGGGT